CAGATGACCCACAGAGGTCCCTTCCAACCCGTACCATTCTGTGATTCTGTGAAGCAGTCTCAGGAGTTTTGGGAAGGAGGGTGCAGCAAGACAGGGATGGCTCAGCACCACGAAAGCCAGCAGCAGCAGCTCAGGCTGGGGGTTGCTTGGTCGGTGCCCAGGGAGATGGGAGGCTTTTCAGTGCCCTCTGCTCCCCCACTGCTCGGCGCTCTCCCTGCTGCAGGGAATGACCCCCACCCTCCTGTTACGTATTGCAACTAAAAAACAAAAACCCCACTAGAAACTGCACAATTATTGGTGTTTAGTGGATGCCAGGAGGTTACCGTCTCCCTCCCACAGCGCAGGGGACAAAGCACCCGTGCCCAGCGTCGCCCTGGCTGGGAGCTGCCGAGCTCCTGCTTCCCCACCGTACGCCTCCTGCCGCCACCTCTCCAGGCAGAAACCCGGGGGCCCCAGCAATCAAACCCCTCACTTCAGGACAGGGCTGGAGAGAGCCAAGGCAGGTCCCGCTGCTCCAGCGAAGCCTTCCCTCGGCGAGCAGGGGAGCATGTTGGCACACGCTGCGGCGGGGATATTGCTTTGCCTGATGGCTTTGAAGACTGGGGGGCGGAGGGGGAAGAGAAGAGGCCAGTTAAGTGTGTTTATGTTTGAGAGGAACAAAGGAGAGCGGAGGAGAGGCCGGGGGTGCCTGCGCCAGAGATGTGTCAGAGATCACTTGTTCCTCCTGGGCCAGAACACCAGCCTGGGACCACCAGCGGAGGAGGAAGCCGTGTGTGTGCAGAGCCGTGTTTCGAGCAGGGAGAGGAAAGATAAAGCACAGGAAAAAAAACCCTCCCAAGAGACTTGGGATGGTGATAAACGTGACACAGGTTAGACACCGGGCTCCCGACTAGCAGGGTGTGCAGTCAGCCCAAATACACTACAGCAGGTAACACCGCGAGCACGTACCTTGCTGGTTCCTGGTTTGGAGGCCAAGTTAGGGAGCCTTGGAGTACACAAAGCCCAACCAAGCCGAAGAGAAGGCGGCCATCAGGTGCACCCCAGCTAGGCAATCCGTTACGGCAAATGAAGCACGGGTCCCCCCATTTAAACTGCCTTCCCGAGGGTCTCACGCAGCCCAGGGGCTGGGCGCTGCCCCTTCCGCCTCGCCCTGCACCCCAGCAGACAGCACCCACAGCACAGGGCACACCTTC